AAAAAAAAAAAATACTCTGGAGTAAATATGAAGCATGCATGGAGTCCTTCTGTTGCATACCATCACGCCAAGGTTGTTACCAGGAAAGCTGAAAGCCAAGCAGCCACTCTTCACTTTACTTGAAAAAAACAGCTGAAACTACTGTAATTCACACTTGGGTATTTAGCAGATTTTATCAAATGAAAAAAAAAATTATCACTTGAAGAAAAACTAACAGTATTTGTCATCAATGATAAAATTCAAGCTTTCAAACGAAAACTTCGGGAAACTTGTGCCCACCACTGTGAATTTAATAACAAAAAACCTTAGAACTTTTAAGATAAAAAATCTAAAAGGCTGCAGATGTAGCTCAGTCAGAAGGTTTTGAGTTCAATCTTCAATGCCACCAATGGTGGATATGGTGGTCCACACCTGTAATCCCAGCATTTGGGAGACTGAGGCAGGAAGATGGCCAGTTGGAGGCTAGCCTGTGCTACAAAGTGAGTTCAAGGCCAGTTTGAATTATATAGTGAGACTCTGTTTCAAAACAACAACAAAAAATTTTCAGACATTTCTTGGTGGTGATTTAACAAATGTGGCATTCTGAGTTGTGTAATGTGTCCAGGCTTGAAAGACATGCATTACTCAGTTAACCAGTATTTTCTAGGTGCCCAACACATCATTTGATAATACCATGAGTAAAAGATCTATTCAAAGTACAAGATGAACTAGTGGATTTTAATGTAACAGAATGAAAAGTTCATTGATAGAGGTTTAGATTCCATATTGCAATTAATGTTAAGAAACTTAGATTTGTTAAGCTTTCACATAGTAGCAAAGAGCATCCACAAGGATCTGAAAAACACTTCTCTACTTTTCAACTACTTAATGAAACTGGATTTTCTTCATACTCTTCAACCAAAGTAACTTATCTCAAAGGCTGAATGAAAAACCGACATGAGAATCCAGCTGTCTAATAATCTAGGAATTAAAGAGATTTGCAGAAATAGCCATTACTAAATTTTTTCCCCCACTCCATCCAAGTTTCTATCTCCTTAATTCTTTTCATTTCTTCCTGCTGTAAGTTCACCAACTAAAACAGTTTTCCTTCTGCATCTTTCCAAAGTCTGTCTCAGTCTGGTAGACAGGCAAAGACAGAGAATTTTCCAATTACCGAACAGGGTGGCTCT